TTCTTGCCAGTTGTTAATCATTAGATGTGTCTTCTGTCCTCTCACCACCAACTTCTCTATCCCCTGTGACGATGGGCTTGGCTAGGCCAGATACCCATCAAACACAAGTCTAAATGTTGTTGTAGAGGTATTTTGTGGATATGATTAGTATCTATAATCTGTTTAATTAAAGAGGATTATTCACAATAATCTGGGCAAGCTTTATCCCATCAGTTGAAAGGCCTGAAGAGCAGAACAGAGGTTTCCACCATCAGCAGTGCCTGCCCCACATTTCAGACTTGCCAGTGCCTGCAATTGCAAAAGCCAATTCCTTGGAATAAATCTTTTTCCACATATATAACCTACTGGTTCTGTCTTTCTGGTAGGACCCTGACTGATAGATACTCCCCAGACAGTTAATTATACTTAAAGCTTGTATCACAGTAATTTAGTACTTTATTAACCATGTTGTATTTGCTCTTTACTGGTCGATGGTAGTCTTGTGCCATCTCCCTCCATACCTTTTCCAAAGCATGCCAGGTGCAGTGTGTGCCCCGGCCATGAGTTTGTGTTGGTTGATTGTGGTAAGTCTTAGATTTTAATTAAAGGAAGTAGAAGCTAGAAGTTTTTTCAATAAAGGGGATTCCTTACCACTTGGGCTGGGCTCTCCTGGCCTTTTGATTTTTTTAAGATGTGATGCAACCAGGTTTTGAACTAATAGTGATCTTAGTCACTCTGTGTAAGTTTTAGGAATCTTTTAACCACATAGGGCTTTCCTTTGTGTGACTTGAGAATTTTACCACGAAATGGAGGAACTATTGATAGCTATATAGACAAATGTTGGTTGAACCATAGACACCCTGGAGTGGGGTAGGGTTTCAAACTTTAAACAGTGTGTAGGGTACTGTTTCCAAGGAATTGTTTATCAGATCCATGGGTTCAACTCAAGCACTTACTTCTGCCCTTTATACCATCACTAGAGGCCCGGTGCACGAGATCGTGCCCTCTGCGGGGGGCGGGGGGGAAGTTCCCTCAGCCAGGCTTGTGCCCTCTCAGTGTCCAGGAGCCCTCAGGGCCGACTGATAGCTCCTTCCGGGGATCGGGCCTAAGCCGTCAGTTGGACATCCTTAGCGTTGCCGCAGAGGCAGGAGAGGCTCCCGCCACCGCCGCTGCGCTAGCCAGCTGTGAACCTGGCTTCTGGCTGAGTGGCGCTCTGGCTGTGGGAGTGCTCTGACCACCAGGGTATAGCTCCTGCATTGAGCATCTGCCCCCTGGTGGTCAGTGTGCATCATAGTGACTGGCCGTTCCACTGTTTGGTCATTTTGCTTATTAGCCTTTTATTATATAGGATGATTATTTATTGTAATTAATCCTGATAATATTAACACTTAGGCCACAAATAACACTAAGGCTCTGGGTATGCTGGAGTGGAAAAGTAATTTTCCTCCCACCTTTCTAAATTCTTCTGGCTAACCTAGTAATCAAATTAACATGAGACAGGTTAATAGGAGAAAAATGACCAAATTTATTATAGATGTACATTACATGGGTTCCACAAGAATATGGGACTTGAGGACACACTGGGCAGTTAGGCTTATATGCTATTCTGGACCAAGGAGAGGGAGGCAGGGGTCTGGGACTCCAAAGGAGAAGCAGGCAACTCACAAGTAGATGAGAAAGAGCAAACTTGTGGTCAACAAATTCTTGCTGGGCCACCCAGAAACCATGGGACACAGGAGGGAAGTCCAATAAGCAGGGTTTTGCTTGTATCCTCTCTGTCTGCCACTTATTTCACATATGCTGAGGTGAATATGCTAGGTTCCCTTCTTAAAGCAGGTTTTCCTATCTGAATTCCTTTTGGCAGGTAAAGTAGGAGGATCAAAGTTTCTGAGTCTCCTGTTTCTTAAAAATAACCAACTTGAAATCATCAATATCCCAAAAGGCATATTTTGGGGTGGCAAACTCTGCTCTGCCTCAGAGGAATGAAGCTTAACAACACAATTAAGCAACTTGAGCTTCAAAACGTGCTAACCAGCCTGGCCAGAGTGGCTCAGTTGGTTGAACATAGTCTGTGCACCGAAAGGTTGCTGGTTCGATTGCAGTCAGGACATATACCTAGGTTGTGGTTTTGATCCCCAATCAAGGGAGCATGCAGAAGGCAATTGATGTTTCTCTCTCACATCAATGTTCCTCTCTCTCTCTTTCTCCCATCCTCTCTCTAAGCATGTCCTTGTGTGAAGATTAACACCCCCCCCCCAAAAAAAAAAATCCTAACTATGAACCTTTTATTTAGTGCTGAGTACAGCTGGGATGAACTTGTTTGTCTCAGTGAGGTGAAATTCTAATGAGTGAGCATCTCAGCTGAATCACTTCTGACTCTTTTTTTCCTCTGGATTTAATTTCTGGATAAAAATGGAAACTTAGAGAAATCTACTTCAATAATGCAAATGTGGCTGGTATCTTCCCTGACAAAAGTCAATCTTTACCTTAACTAAAAATTATATGACTGCTCTTATATAACTGCGTTTAGTACTTTGGAATGTCAGGGTAATTCCCCTCTATCAGACAGACCCCTTGGGCATAACCAATGGGAGACCACAAATCCTCTCTCTTTTTAAAATATGTTTTTATTTATTTTTTATAGAGAGGAAGGGAGAGAGATAGAGAATTAGAACCATCGATGAGAAACATCGATCAGCTGTCTCCTACATTCCCCCTACTGAGGATCGAGCCTGCAACCAAGGTACATGCCCGTGACTGGAATCGAACCCAGGATCCTTCAGTCCTCACTCGATGCTCTATACACTGAGCCAAACCAGTTAGGGCCATAAATTCTCTTTGTTATTGTTATCATGTTAATTGTTGACTGTTACCTGTCCTGTACCCACCTATGTAAAAGATATATGTGTCTATCATTTTACTTTTTATCCAATCCCAGAGGGCCCCCACCACCTTTTCCTTTCTCCTGCCTCCCTAATCTATCACCAGTGGATTTAATGTAACCCACTTGCATCTCTTATTTTTATAATGTATTAAATAAGGTGCAAAACTTCCATCCTCTGGAGCATTATCCCAATCCATTGAGATTTTGCTTCCTGGCAATTGTCGACAGTTTGGCTCAAATAAACTCACAAAAATTCTCTATAGATTTGAATGTTTTTTACATTGATATCACAAAAGAATGCACAGTGTGATTCTATTTTGAAGAAGATGAAAATAGATAAAAAGCACACTTTATTTTTATGAATGTAAACATAGATGGCAAATTTTAGAAGAAATGGTTATTACAAAAGTCAGATGTTTGTTATTGGGAAGGATATGATCAGGAAGATGGGCACAGTGGTGATTAGAGGGGTTGCTTTGTAATTAATTATTCTTTGAACATTCGTGGTCTGTGCATGTCTTTATTTATCTCTCACACACAAAACTAGATGGAGAATGGTTCGCACAAACAAAGTTTCTCCTCACACTAAACCGCGCTTGCCCCTGTGGGTGGTTCTGTCTTCTTGGTTCTTCAGCTCCAGCTCTCCCCACCCCTCCCCAGGGAGGTCCAGACACCCACATAGACCTGAGACTGCTGGTATTTCTCTCTCAGCAGCTGGGCTGCAGGTCATAGAGGCTGAGGGTACAAATTCCCTTTCTACCTCTTGGGTGACTTTGAAGTCTGGGCCTTGAGAAGTCACCTGGTTCGGAGGAGGTGGGGCAGCAGTTCCTGAGCATGGAGGGCCTGGCCCGGACTCCCCAAAGCCATCTGGAGGGCAAAGGGCTCCTCCCTTTTGGCCATGGAGCCATGGTGAACCTGTGATTAAACCCCTGCCTCTCCCCAGACACCCTCTCCAACCAGACAGCTGGCAGCCCTTCAAGGAGAGGTAAAGGCTTTGCGCTGTAACCCAGAGTAACAGGCCACGTAGGGGAGGCCACATGTCTGAGCCTGTTCTCAGGAACTGGAGGGACACTTTAAGTGGGTGTGCCATGGAGGTAGGGGCAGAACTGACTTTTCCGCCGCCGAGCGCTTCATTCTCCTTCCCCTGGGACCTCGCTGCACTGGGGACCACCAGCTAAGGGTTGCCTGTGGAAGAGGTATCAGCACTACACACAGTGAGTGGCCTCTTACAGAGGCAGGAGCTGTGTCTGTGCCCACAGTACTCTATTTGTGAAAGAAACCACCCAGGAGATAGGGGCTGGAGGCTTCAGAGTCATTCTGTTCTGACCAGTGAAGATTCAGGGAACACATGCCAGCCTCCCCCATGTCTGTCTTCCTGACAGCTGAAATGGCCAAGGTGAAAATATCTTCAGATGGAGACTGAGCTGTCAGTGAAGGGCCTAATGATACAGATATTTCTAATGCATCCCTGTTCCTCATCGGTGAGGAACAGATCAGGTCACACCGCTGGGCAATTTGACATACAACCTAAAAGCCTAACAGAGTGCCTCTTGCTTTGCAATTCACATTTGTAAAAGATTCTAGGGCTCCACCTTTGCAAATAAACACCCTATTCTGAGCTGCATTTCATCAAAGAATATCATGCTTTACAAACTCATTAAAAACTAAACAAGGCCAGGCTTGCAGGCAGGCACAGTCTGGAGAGCAACTTCACAGTTCTTTTGATGGCTCCAGTCTTACAGCCCCAGTTCTTAACAAACGTGCAGAAAATCCTTCTTGCCCTTTTCCACCAGTACCCCGTTTACTTTTTCCCTTTCCCTTCTTCCTCTCCCCGTTTGACAGAGCTGCAAGTGAGACATGGGTTATGGGTGGAGAAGAGAAGACAGTGGAATTGGGCACAGTATGAGAGAAGGTTGATTATAGCTGTGGAAAAAGTGAATTGGTATTTGACATTTCACAGATAGTCTCTTTTCCGAATCTGTTCCGACATCATAGTTTCATCATGAAAAATTCCATGAAAACACTTACAGTGCTTGGAGAGTATTTTGGGATCCTGCCCCAGTTAGGATGAAAATGATGGTAAGAGAATGGTCTTTCCAGAGGACTCATCCATATGCCACCCCCTTTCCTCATTTAGGAAGGAATAGTGTCTCCGAGCGACTTGGACCTCGTCATGTCTCACGGCCTAGGCCTCCGGTATGCATTCATTGGACCCCTGGAAACCATGCATCTCAATGCAGAAGGTAGGGGCTCAGATGGGAATTTTATGCAGTGTAGTGTTTTCATGGGTTTTGTAAACAATCAAAGGTTGTCTTTTCGTACAACTGAATAGAAATGGTATTGTGTACAGGAGACAGTGGCCAGCCCTGCTCATTCACAGGTAGGGGTAGGGCAGTGGCTGTGTCCCAGGATGTAAGTGGCTGTGTCCCATGGACCTCACAGCTCTGTGTAGAGCAGCACTCAGGTGAGGACTGGAAGGAGAGGTGAGCAATGTTATGGAGACTTTGCCTCATGTCATCCAGCCTGATAGAAGATAAAGTAGTATTTTCCTGAGGAAGATAATGAAATTATTTAGCAGCAAGAAAAAAAAAGTAGGGAAATAACCACATGAACCTCTGCTGGACTTACCTTTTGCCTAAACATGGGCAGCTTGCAACTGTGACTTGCTCATCTGTAGGCTTCTTTCCAAAAGCTGGGGTGTCACGAGGGAGGGGCTTCTACAGGAAAAGGGGCTGGTGCTCTTGGTTAGTGGCCAGGCTAGGCCATCAGTTACCCTGGAGCCACCTCAAAGGGACTGGTAACTCTAAAAGCAAGGTCACTTGAGATGGGTGAGAAGCTTCCAAGAATGAAACTGTCCACCAGATTTTAAGCCATTTAAAAAGAAGACATCATTTGAAAAACAAATAATAAAACCTACACCAAATTAAAACAATGAATCAGAAAATCTGGGGAAATGTCAACTAAATAATATGATAGCTGTCTCTTGGTGTTGAAATTATAAGTAACTTTTATTACCTTTTTACTTTTCTATGTTGTAATAAATTTCTATAATTATTGTATGTTGTTTTTAAAATTTATATTATTAACTTGTAAAACATATGAAGAAAAAGAAAAAGAATATTGTATTCAGTTCCATGGTCTACATTTAACAAAAATATCGAGAAATGGAATCTGATCCAGTGTGTGTGTGTGTGTGTGTGTGTGTGTGTGTGTGTGCGCGCGCCGCATGTGCCTGTATTTGTCCATGTCTTTTGTGGGGGTGGAACCAGAATGAAAGACTGGAAATGGCGGGAAGACAGGTTTGGGGTCAGGACATGGCAGGGAGAACTTTCTGGTAAGTGGAACTGATGTAGAAGGAGAGGCCATGCTGTGGGTGGGTGGGCCTTCCTGCTGGAGGCTGGTCCTCACCTGTGCGGATGTTTGAATGTTGACAGGAGTCGCACAGTGAGGTCGGAAGTTGGAGCAGATGACCTCTGGGGAGTCTGCCGTAGATTTTATAATTCCACGAGGGTTTGGTAATACTTCAGTTAATTTTCACAACAGTAATTAATTAAATATAATTTCCAGTGGATAATCCCAAGCAGTTTTACCAGATGTATTGCACACAGCAGGCGCACACCTGGGTCCTTGGATGGGTTAGTAGGGTGTCATGCAAATGTGGCTCAAATAGGTGACTTGATTCTTCCTTAACACCCAGCTGAGAGCAGCTGAAGAGAGGGGACTCTCACCTAGCACCCGCATGTTACTTGTGTGGTAGAATAACAATTGAACATAGGAGGGTAATGTAAAGACACAGGCTTTATTAAAGTGAAACCAGAGTTTTGAAGTATCATTAAAATAAAGTCTTGCATAATTTTGAATGTTTTTTTGTAAACCAGAACCTTAAGCGTGATGAACATATTGAAGCATTTGAAATGTATGTAGACACTGCTGGATGACCACTGTGTTTTTATTTTTCTTGAGAAAAATAAGATAATTCAGGTATCAGGAGAAACTGATAGGAGAGACCTGAGAACCACTTTGACTCTCAAACAAGTAGAAACTGAAGCCAATGAAACCAGAAACTCGGGAGTCAAACAGTGTGGCAGATAGGACGGAGCCCATAACAATTTTTCACACAAAGCATATTTGATAAGAAAACCTAATTGGTTTAATATGATAATGGTGGGCGGATGTAGTTTTCAACTTCAGAGCATTCTAAGGACCAGAGTTAGACAGTTATAAGATCAGGCTCAGAACCAGTGGAAATGATCATGATTCCTCAGTGTCACCCAGGATATATCAAGATTGGAACTGGGAGAGTTCTTTTTTCTGATGTTGTTTTCATAAAGCCAGTATCTCAGGTTAAGGCTAGTTATTAGTCTTAAAAGCTACAGTTTATCTAGAAGGGGTAAGAATATTTGGTGGTTTGTTTTTAATCTTATAAAATAGCAGATGAAAAACAGGAGGCCAGCATGCTTTCTTCGCCTTTTGGCTACTTTTAAAAAGTGACACCCACGAAAGACAAGCTCTCAGAAGAGTGGATCTGGTCTGTGGAGCCAGTCAGCCTGGATCTCTAGTTGACCTATAAGCTAAATAGCCCTGTGTACTCAGTATCCCCATCTGTAAAATGGGACAACAACAGTAACAGCCTTATAAGGGTGGTATGAGAATGAAACCAGATGGCGACATCTAGCTGGATGGCTGACATGAAGTCCATAATAAATGTTATATTCACACAAAGTTTTGTTTAATTCCCTATTCCAGTTTTTTTTTTTTTAATTCCCCCAAAGATTCACAAGTGCATTAGAGAAATACAGAACACATACAGATTAGGACATTTTTGCTGTGGAATATGAACTCTCAAGACTTTGGTTTCTTTCCATGCTAAGCTTTTAGACTAGCAGGTCAGCAAAGGCTGGTCCCTTGTACACCTACCAGCCTTCTGGGTGCCTGGGAACCTGGCAGCCCCTGGACATCACCTTCAGTTGAGATGAATGTTCACCATCTTGCCTCTCGAAATTTCCCTTGTTTAGATGCTTGTCCTTGTTTGTTTGTTTGTTTATCTTAAATTGAGATGTCTGCTTGGTGGGTCTGGTTCATTTGAGTGGAGCTGTGATTTGCAGTGAAATAGGTGAGCTGATAGGGCTGTTCCTGGCAGTTTCTGTCCACCTGCTCCAGCAAGGCCTCACTCAGGTGGGAATTACATAATGTCCCTGGGCTTTGGGGTCTTTTTGGTCTTCTCTGATTAAGTTTTGTCTCTTAAAGGCAGGGGAATTCATGTGAGTGTGGGTTCATAGGCTGTGGGGAAAGCACACTTCTCTGGTGTGGGTAGCAATTAGGGCTCTCCAAGAATCAACACCCAGGGCGTGTCCCAGCAGCTGCCTCCACCGTGACAGAGGCCACACAGACAGGTGCCTGCTCTGTAAATGCAGACAGAAGGGATGGCTCTCCACTGCTCCATCACCTTAGGTTGTGTCTCACCGTCAGGGCTCACAGCCAAGGAATAACAAGTCCGAAAGCAGCAAGAGAAGCTCAATCCGAACTCATGACAATCAGTTCTTTCTCCCACTTCTTAAGAAATTAGGTTCAAAGTCTTCTAAAAAGCTAAGCTCTCTGAGAGCTGTTGGAAGTACTTGGTTGACCAGAATAGAGGGCATGGAAGCATAGCAGGAAAAACATAGGGAGGCTCACCTCATAGTAATACAGAGGAGGGATGGGCTGTGGGATAGAAGGTGAAGTGGCTTTTTCTTTTCATTTCCATTGAAATTGGTATTCTGGAACATTCCCGCTCATACAGCTCTATTGGAAGGGAAGATGTTGCAAAGAAGAGTAAGGTAGTGAATTTGCTGGGACACTGTAAACAATTTTGACACTAAATCACCATAAACTTGTACTTTGAGGTAGTGGGAGAGCTGCCCTGCGGTGTTAGATGCTCTATCTATGAAATGGAGGTCTGCATGTGCTGGCTGTGTGGCCTCTTACCGTCTCCACAGACTCGGGGCTGCTCACCCCGTGAGCCTGAGTACATGCTATAGAAAGAGTTTTTATGTTTGTAAGACTGAAGTTTTATATTGGTTTCCTAGAAAAGTTGGGGGGGGGAATTATTAATTGTATTATAAAGAGTTTTACTGTATTTTCTATCTTAAATAAATGCCCCTTTAAAGCCACAAATTTTATAAAAGGCAGGGAAAAAGAGTTCTCAAAAGCCCCTGGGAGATTCAGATAACTTCACAGGGACACAGAAAGATGAACGCTTGTTCAGAAAATGTGAAGTAATCCAGAGTGAAATACAGTCCTTGAATTGCATCTGTGGCTTTTCACTGCTTAAGGAGAACAGGGAGATAGAACTGGTTCACAGGAGGGTACTGTTGGGCTTCTGTTTCCCTGCACGTGGGTGAATCTCAGCTGCAGCCAGTCCTCCCATTTTCTTCTCATTTGATATCTTTCCAACTTATTTGATTCTTATGGCTCTGCCCCCCAAAAGGAGTAATTGTATTTGTGTCTAGATTTTACCACCTTTGGTTTGAATAAACACTTAAAGTGAAGAAAATATTTAACTTCTAAAGGAAATAAATGTAATGGTGGTTTTCTGTGTTCTGGAAATGCTGAGTCCTCTAAGATAGCTAGCTAGTGCTGGAACCTTTGTAGGGGTGGGGAACCTTTTTTCTGCCAAGGACCATTTGAATATTTATAATATCATTCTCAGACCATACAAAATTAACAACTTAAAAATCAGCTTGCTATATTTGGTCAAACATTTAATTAACACACTCCTAATGAGTTGGCAGGGCCAGACCAAATGATTTCACAGGTCCTGCCTGAGGGCCGGATGTTCCCCACCCCTGCTTTAGGAAGTCTTCTGGAATCCTTAATTGTCAGGTTATACTTGTGTTAAATGAAATGAAACCCTTATTTTAAAAAGGAGTGTCCACCACTTAATTGTAGGTGCTAATGTTAGAAAAGTTGTTATATTTGAATATTTTACCCTTCAAAACAATTTCTAAAAGCTAGTTTGATATGATTTTAGCACACTGAAGGAGAAGGAAAGCTATTTGGGGCAAATAAAATTGAAATTCAGTGAATTCAGGCTTTCACAATAGTGTGGGTCCACCAAAACTAAACCCCAAAGAAGTTTGTCTTTTTCTTTTTTTAAGAATATTGTGTGGTGATGATTTTTATTTAAAACTAGAGGCCCAGTCACAAATTCATGCACCAGTGGGGTCCCTCTGCCTGGCCTGCGGGATCGGGCCAAAACTGGCTCTCCGACATCCCCTGAGGGGTCCCGGATTGCGAGAGGGTGCAGGCCAGGCGGAGGGACCCAACCGGTGCACAATCGGGGCCAGGGAGGGACACAGAAGGTTGGCCAGCCAGGGAGGGACCATAGTAGGGCTCCAGAGGGTGTCCAGCTCATCTCGCTCAGTCCAGATTGGCCGGACCCCAGCAGCAAGGTAACCAACCGGTCGAAGCATCTTCCCCCTGGTGGCCAGTGCACATCATAGTGAATGGTTGAGCGGCCTTAGCATATCATTAGCATATTAGGCTTTGATTGATTGAATGGACTGCTGGACACTTAGCATATTAGGCTTTTGTAATATAGGATTAATTTAAAACTTTTTCTAGGGTGGATAAGAACCAAGCTCGGGCATCTTTGCAAATTCTGCTATTCATTTTAAATTCTGTATTACCTTTTAGCCTGACTGACCAACCTCTGAGTGTTTCTGGTTGTGAAAGATGTTAGAATTGGGCCAAGGGTGGCACAATGGGTGGCTCAGCTATGTCCTAAGTGGGCCCAGAACTCAGAGACGCCTCTTCTATGCATACCCAGGGGTGGCCTCAGATTGGACTTGATCCCCCCCCCATGCCCCCACACATGCCTGCACTGGCCAAGCCCTGCTGCCTCCCAGGCAGTGGGAGGGGAGGATGCCAGGCACAGATGGGTCCCAGCAGGCCAGTTCCACCTGCTGGGAAGCGAGGCCGCTGGACTCTGCTTTCCTCTCTGTGCATATCTGACGCTTACTGAAGAGCTTAGTTTCAGCCACACACAGCCCAGAACTGCTTCTAGGTTACTGTGCTTCTTCCTCCTCTCTCCCATGCGGATGAGCCTCTTCTTCATGGGTTTCTCCGTCAAAATCCCAGGGCCTTTATCTCAGCATCTGAGAAAGCGGTTGGGTTCCCCAGGGCCAGGAAGCTGCAGAAGCAGTTGGAGAGCAGTGCGGCCTGGGTACAGAGGCAGCCTGGGCTTGGGGGACAGGGCTGTTATCCACTGGCCACACTCTGAGCCTGCATTAAAGAATCTGCTGCCTTGTAGACAACCAACCAAGTGGTAACTAGAAGTCAGGGAACAAGTGTGAAATGGGAAACAGATTAAAGTGAGCTGTGACCTCTGTGGTTCTTAGAAAATGCATTCAAGCCATTTACACAAGTAACCTCATAACATTTTGGTGAAAATAGGACTTAATAGGTTAATCAATAAATCAATGCAGGAACACTGAGGGAGGTAGAATGGCAGGCCCCAGGGGCCCCTTGCTTTTCAGGATTCTGAGATCAGAGGGAAAGCTTGACAAGTGACTGACTTGTGGTGAGGACCCTTGGTCCCCAGCGCCAGCTAACCAGGTGCACTGACCACCTCCTCCTTTTCTTAACTCACCAGAAGAAAGGAATGTAGTTATTCTGACCCAAGGCAAGACTCTCTGAATCGATGACTTCGTTGGGAGTTCTCTAATGTTCTGGTTTTGTGGATTCTTGTGTTCATATGGTTTCAGGCATGTTGAGCTACTGTGACAGATACGGCGAAAGCATGAAACATGTCCTCAAGACTTTCGGACCTATTCCAGAGTTTTCTGGGGCCACAGTTGAGAAGGTTCACCAGGTACGTGGACTGACTGCAGAGAGTTGTGCATGCTGAGTGGGAGGGAGCTCTGTGGACAGGGACATTTATTGTGCAGCTAGTATCTTTGTTTCTGGTTTGCACAGTCCCTCATCTCTAACTTCTGTCATGGTCCTTGGAGACCTTCAGAGCAGTGTGGCCAATGAACTTGGAGGTCACTGTGACTTATCTCTGAGGAGCTGGAGTCTCTGGGTTCAGGAAACTCATGTTCATGGAGTGTTTACTCTGCTCCCTTTTTCCTTGAGAGCAAATTCAGTTTGCACAGGAGGACCAACAATTATGCTCCTGGTAAATTACCTCCTCTTCATGCATTTTTGTTTTTTTATTTTAAAAAATTTTCATTTACAGTTGATTTCAGTATTATTTTTTTAAATATATTTTATTGATTTTTTTTACAGAGAGGAAGGGAGAGAGATAGAGAGTTAGAAACATCGATGAGAGAGAAACATCGAACAGCCGCCTCCTGCACATCTCCCACTGGTGATGTGCCCGCAACCAAGGTACATGCCCTTGACTGGAATCAAACCTGGGACCCTTCAGTCCGCAGGCCGACGCTCTATCCACTGAACCAAACCGGTTTCGGCGATTTCAGTATTATTTTATATTAGTTTTAGGTATAGAGCAGTGATGGCGAACCTATAACACCTCTGACACGCGAACTCATTTTTTTGTTGATTTTTCTTTGTTAAATGGCATTTAAATATATAAAATAAATATCAAAAATATAAGTCTTTGTTTTACTATAGTTGCAAATATCAAAAAATTTCTATATGTGACACGGCACCAGAGTTAAGTTAGGGTTTTTCAAAATGCTAAAAAGGTTCGCTCACGCCGAGCTCCAAAGGTTCGCCGTCACTGGTATAAAGCATAGTGGTTAGACCAGTGGTTCCCAACGTGGGGCACATGTCCCACAGGGGGGCAATTTGATTTTTAAGGAGGGCATTTTGAGAATGAGTTATTAACAGTGAATTTTTTGCATTTCTAGGAACCTCATATACAGTATACAAATATATATTGTGACATTTATGCATTTCAGTTCTCTATTATATGTTTTGAAACTTTACTTGCTATTTTTTCATATCACTTCAGATTATTATTATTATTATTATTATTATTTTAACAATTTCTTAGTGATTTCTTCCTCAGTACTTCAGCTGTCCTTTTGTTCTTTTATTTTTCTCTTTCATGGATGCCATGTTCTTTGGAAGCTTGTTTAGACCAAGTTAATGGCCTTTTAGGCTTCCTCCACGTGAATAGGAGTTAATTTTTTGAATAATAAGAATTATATGTCACAGGATTTTAGAGATGCTTAGGTTGGGCATGGCCAAAAAAAAGGTTGGGAATCACTGGGGTTAAACATATAATTTGCAAAGTGATCCCCCTGATAAGTCTAGTAGCCACCTGACACCATACATAGTTATTATATCATTGACTATATCCCCTATGCTATACTTCATATCCCTGTGACTATTTTGTAACTGCCAATTTGTACTTTTTAAAAAAATCATACCCAGTGAGATGTTTACTGATTTTACAGAGAGAGGAAGGGGCAGAAGAGAGAGAGAGAGAGAGAGAGAGAGAGAGAGAGAGAAACAGTGTTAAAGAAACATTGATCAGTTACCTCTTGTACCTGAAACCTAGGTATGTGCCCTGGCTAGGAATTGCACCTGAGATCTTCTGGTGTATGGGATAACACTTCAACTGGCCAGGGCATGTGCTTCCTTTTTTTTCAAAAAAAAAAAAAGGCATATTTTTATTGATTTCAGAAAAAGAAGGGAAAGGGAAAGATAGAAACATCAACAATGAGAGAGAATCATTGATTGGCTGCCTCCTGCATGCCCCACACTGGGGATTGAGCCCACAACCTGAGTATGTGCCCTGATAGGGAATCGAACCGTGTCCTCTTGGTTCATAGGTCGACACTCAACCACTTAGACATGCTAGCTGGGCCAGGCATGAACTTCTTATCCCTTAATGATTTTCACCCATCCTCCCAAGTCCCCCTACCATCTGGCAACCATCAGTTTGTTCTCTGTATCTGTGAGTTTGTTTTTATTTTCTTTGTTTATTTTGTTTTATAGATTCCACATGTAAGTGAAATCATATGGCATTTGCCTTTCTCTGTCTGACTTATTTCACCTGGCATAATAACCTCTAGATCAGGGGTGGGCAACCTTTTTGTGAGTGTGTGCCAAAACCAGCAAAATCTCTGACTCAAAATTCTTCTGCGTGCCAACCCTAATTTTTTGAGAACATGTTACGCCTACTTGATATCTCTTAAGGTGTATGTATGTGAAGAACCTTGAAGAAATAAAATAATAAAATTCATTCGAGCAACAAAAACACAGTATATGATGATGAAAAATACATTTATTTTTTAATGTATACATGTACACTGATAGTCCGACAGAAAACTTTATGACTCCGTTTGATATTATCAGTGGGACTTTTGCTGCTGCATCACTGATAACAGAGATTTTACATCAGGTTTATATTTCATGACCTTCAGAGATATGCACGAGCTACTACTTTCATACGTCAGGCTACTCCTATTACGAGACCTAACAAAATTCATCACTGAGAACAAAGATTCACAAGCGTATGTGGATGAAACCAAAACACTGGTCGGATCTAGGAAGGCAGGGAGAGTTAAGGCAGAGGCATAGAAATTGCTCTTCCCCTCTCTCGTCAATCCATGCCTGTGGTCTTTAAGATAACTTGTTATGTAAAATTATTTATTTATCTAAGATGCACCTACACTGAATTTATCTGAAAAATAAAAAAGTCAATATTAAGAAAAAAATTGTAAATGGAAGATTATAAGAGAGGGTTTCGCGTGCCAGCAAAAGTTACTGGCATGCCATGTTTGGCACGCGTGCCAGGGGTTGCCCACCCCTGCTCTAGATCCATCCACATTGTCTCAAATGGTAAGATTTCATTCTTTTTTATGGTCAAGTAGTATTCTATCATATATATCTCTTCTTTATCTATTTGTCATTGATGGGCACTTAGGTTGCTTCCATACTTGACTATTTTAATAATACTTCAATGAACATAAGAATGTTTTTTTGAATTAGTGTTTTGATTTCTCCAGATAAATGCCCAGAAGTGGAATTGCTGGGTCATATGGTAGTTCCCTTTTTAATTTTTTGAGGAACCTCTGTACTGATTTCCATAGTGACTGCACCAATTTGCAGTCCCACCAATAGTGCACAAGAGTTCCTTTTTCTCCAAGTCCTTGCCAACACATGTTTGTTGATTTATTGATAACCATTCTGACAGGTGTGGTTTTAATTTGCATTTCACTGATGTTGAACAGTGATGTTGAACAGCTTTTCATATGTCTATTGGTCATCTGTATGTCTTCTCTGGAGAAATGTCTATTCAGGTCCTCTGTCCATTTTTTAATTTGATTGTTTTTTGGAGTTAAGTTGTATGAGTTCTTTATATATTTTGGATAATAACCTCTTATTAGATGTATCACTGGCGAATATATTCTTTCATTCAGTAGGTTGCCTTTTTGTTTTATTGATGGTTTCTTTTGTTGTGCAAAAACGTTTTAGTTTGATGTAGTCCCATTCATTTATTTTTCCTTTTTTTTTTCCTTGTTGTCTTTTCTCTTCTTTCCCTGTTCCCAGGCCATGTGTGTGAAAGTCCCAGATGATCCTGAGCACTTAGCTGCCAGAAGGCAGTGGAGGGACCAATGCCTCATGAGACTTGCCAAACTGAAAAGTCAGATGCCCTCCCAGTGAAGGTTTTTCTTTGTGTTTTTTTTAAGATTTTAAAATTGATTTTTAGAAAGAGAGGAAGGTAGAGGGATATAGAAAGAGAAACATCCATGTGAGAGCAAAACATCAATCAGCTGCCTCTTGCACATCCCCTACCGGGGATCAAGCTCACAACTCAGACATGTTCCCTGACCGGGAATTGAACCAGCAACCTTTCGGTGCATGATATGATGCCCAGCTAACAGAGCCACACTGGCCAGGGCCCATGAAGTTTTTTATAATGCCGTCACTCCCCTCACTGAAAGTCCTAGTTGGTGGAATTATAAAGACTTAATCATATTGTTTGAAACAGTAGCAGCTACAGAGGTACCGTACTTAGCATGCAAGCCCTGGGCTTGGTCTCTGTTAGCAGTAATCTAGTCATTTCCGATGTGGACGTCAAAGCAGCACTTGGGTTCTGAGGGCTGTCGATTTCCTGCCACCCGGGCAAGCCAGTCATCTCAAGATTTTCACTTTTTAGTTTTAAGTGTGATTATGCATCCTACATTTTATAGCCAATGATTGTAGTTTCAAGTCATTTTAATCTGTAGCAAAAATTTTTGTAATTATTTCTAATCCCTTTCTGAGTACTCTGTGGCCCTTCATTTTTGAGACAACTAACTACCTTCATTTTGCCAATGATTATTCTGAATAAAAGTTTTTGATTCCATATAGGTGTCTTTTCTTCTGATCTTTCTGAGAAAGACAGTGTTTGATCCTGTGATTGACATGTTTTAGAGTGACCATGATGAATAAGAGGCAAATACTTCATTCTGAGTTCTTTGTCTTTTAGTCAGTAAAAATTCACCTATTTGGACCAGTGTTTCCAAAACATGTTCTACAGTGCCCTGTGCTCTGTAGTTATCTGTATTTGGGAAACTCCATGGACTGCCTGGCCTTGGACACTCACATCTATAGGAAATTAGGGACTCCAAGTTCTATAGTAAAGATACCTGTGTAACTTCACCCAACATCCCATTATCTTCATTGACTTGGAGACTGTTCCTAGCACTAGCTCTCCAAATACTCTGGGAAACAGCACAAAAATTCCTCCACCCCGTAGGGCCTGCACATCATAATAACTTTTATCACTGGATGCCTCTGTGGGGCCCCTGACAGCTCCCAGCCCAAATGATCCTGTACATTTTGATGACCAGCTTCCCAGCTTCACCCAATAGGAGATGCGTCCCTTGGAGCCAAGGCTGTGGTGGTGCTGGAACCAGCGTCCCTGATTGGGAACCATGTGGAAGTGATATTTCCAGCTAAGTGTACATATCACTCACCCATCACATGCATTTACTTACTTAATTTTATTTTATTCGTATAAAAATTAATTACAGTTGACATACAATATTATTAATTTCAGGTGTACAACATAGTGATTAGACATTTATATAACTTTTGAAGCAGTCCTTCTGATAAGTCTAGTACCCACCTGGCACCATTCATAGTTATTACAATATTATTGACTATATTCCCTCTGCTGTATTTTACATCCCTGTAACTATTTTTATAATTGGCAACTTGTACTTCTTATTAATTCCTTCCCCTTTTCACCCATTCTCCCCCCACACACGTTTATTTATGCAACAACATCCACTGAGCAGCTGTGATGTACCAGGCATCTCACACATGGTCATTGCCTTTCAGAAGTTTACTGTAAGAAAACCAAATGTTACAGTAAAATAGGACAGTGCTCCAGAGGGTCATATACACCGGAAATCACAACCGCCTGCCCCTGGGTGTGCCCTGGAAGGCCCCAGTGGGCAACTTTCGAGTTGGGTTTTAAGCAACAAGACAGCCTTCCTGGCTGAGGAAGCAGAGCAGGAAAGAGTGCTGGGCACCCTGGAAAAGGGGAGTGGTTCCCTGGGGCCTGAAAAAGGGAAGGCTGGAGCGGGGCCAGACCCAGATAGTGGTGAAGAGCCCTGGGGGCCACATTAATAGTCAGACCTTATATAAAGCAATGGAGAATCTAAATGGAGTGGAGTGGTCATCAGGATTTCAGAAAGTTCCTTATGACAATGGAAGGGACTGATCTAGAGGCAGAGCCCGTTGTGGTCCACATGGGGGCTGGTAAGTGAGTGTGGAAATCATCCCGGTGGTAGGATTGAGTCATCGGGTGACCTGGGAAAGTGACATGGGAGCCTAGAGTATCAGCTCCAGCAACCGTGCAGATTCTATGCCCGTTACAAGATGAGGACGTTAGGAGGAGGGCTAATGTGAGTGTCCCAGATACTAAACTTCCCAGAAAGGATAATGTGGCAAGTCACAAAGGAGGATGTCAGCCCTGAAAGGGTTTATCTGATTAAGTTGTAGATTCTCCTTAAACTCTGACTCAGTCCTTCCCTCTGTAATCTGTTGAGGGGCCATGTGTCTGGGCCACAGGCAAGCCCTTGCTTTTCCCAATAGCTTCTGGTTCCTGCTCCTCTCCCTTCAACATACTTGTCTTCTCAAAGTCTCTGTACTATGCTCAGTGCTTTTAGGAGCATGTGAAGGCTACCCACAGTCCCTGGACCCAGGTTTGGGATCACTGATACGCAGATGAACTAACCAGGAGACATGGGGTGTTGGCGGGTGTCACACAGACTTGACCTGTTGGTTTGACAGCATTGATGAGCCACTTGGGGTTCCAGAAGGAGTGGCCAAATGAGGCTGTCAGGTCTAATGCTCAGGCCAGTAGGAGAGCAAGGCAGACACATCCTGGTGTCCCCTATGGTGGTGTGCACTGGGAAGACAGAGTATGGACATTCATTTATATGTTTACGTTCTGTTTCCCTACTTTTGCTGTAAAGTATTTTTGTGTAGGCATCGGGTCTGTTCTGAGATACATCCATTGAAGTGCTTCTCAGTTTTGCTTGCAGCCATCACAATGTGTAATGCGACAGTTACTAAAAGGATTGGGCTGAGAGAATGCCAGAGAGCCAGTGATTTGATTTTCATCTAAGGGCTGAAAAAATTGGACTTTCCAAGCGAGAACAGCAGAGAGCATACTTGTGGCTCTGGGCAGGACAGTTATGGAAATTGCTGGATAGAGTGAAGAGTGGGTCCAACAGGGAGCTAAAGGGAGGGCTAGGTATGTGAGCATGACTTCCCACAGACCCCACGCAATCCAGTCTTAGAGATAAATTGCAAGACAAAGGAGGCCCTTCTGCTCTTCAGTTTGTCATCCCTGGGGCCTCCTTGCTTCGATGAGTTTAGCAACTGTGTAAGGTCATGTACCAGTTTTCCCATTAATGTCCTTTTTCTGTCACAGGATCCCATCCAAGACACCACACTGCATTGCATTACCAAATCTCCTCACTGGCCTGTGACAGCTTCTTAGTCTTGCTTTGTTTTTCATGACCCTTAGAGTTGCAGGAGTCCCAGCCAGGTAGCTTGTAGAATATTGCCAGTGTGGGATTGTTTGGTGTTTCCTTATGGTTAGTTACACTGGGATTAGGTTTTGGAAAGAATACCCCAGAAGTGAAGTGACTTCTCATTCCATCCTATGAGGGGCTATGTGAGTTCGCTGGGGCTGTGAGAAGGACCAAGCCCAGTTGAATGTCGCACTGACTGGTTCCTGAGTCCTTTTCTCAGAACTTACAAGCTATCTATCTCCACCCCCTGTGTAATGCACACACAGTTTCTCTCACATCAGTCTCTGCTTCCAAATGTCTTTTCCCCAAAGCGCTGGTCCACATCCATTTGTACAGGACCCCTGGTTTCCCTTTCTGCATGCTTCAGCTTAGCCTCTTAGTGCTCCTTCAGGACTGGAGGTGGTGCCTGCTCCAAAAGAACAGATTGTATATTGTTTCTGTGGAAGTCACAGAAAGATGTCAAAGATGGGGTTAGGGGTGGGGTCCCTGTTGTTCATGTCTGCTTCTTGCTTGGTTTGGAGGTGCATGTGTAGCTGATGAAGTACAAGGTGCTTTTCACAGGCTAATCAAACATGCAAGACTGAAATAAAAAACAGAATGGCAGTTTTATTCATTTTCAATTGACCCATCAGTCAAACATTTATGGAGCATCTACTGTGTGCTGGGCACTGTTCCAAGTGCTGGGGAGACACTAATAAACAGGCAAAAACTACCTGCCCATATGAAGTTTATTCTGTAGTTCTAGTGGGAGACAGCAAAACATAAAGCAATCAATAGGCAAAGTATAGAAAATGTCAGAAGGCTATCAGTTATGTGGCTAAAAAAGTGTACAAAAGTTTTAATTTCTCCATATCTTTACCAGTACTTATCTTTTTTTTTTAATAACAACTATTCTAACAGGTGTAAGGTGATACCTCACTTGTTTTGATTTGCATTTCTCTGATGATGAATGAAGTTGAACATCTTTTCATGTACCTGTTGGTCTTTTGTTTTTGGAGACATTCTATTCAGTTCCTCTACCCACTTTTTAACCAGATTGTTGTGTTTTGTTTTGTTTTGCTATCAAGTTGTATGAGTTCCTTATATATTTTGGATAATAATTCCTTATCGGATAGATGGTTGCAAATATTTTCTCCCATTTCACAGGTTTCCTTTTCACTCTGTTGATTATTTCCTTTGCTGTGCAGAACTTTTTAGTTTGACATAGTCTCACTTGTTTATTTTTTGTTTTGTTGCCTGTGCTTTTAATGTCTTTATTCATTAAATCATTGCGAGGGCCTATGTTATGAAGCCATTTTAGGCATTTTACAGTCTTACATTTAAGTCCTTAATCCATTGAGAGTAGAGTTTTATGTTTATGGTGTAAGAAAAGAGTCCAATTTAATTCTTTGGCATGTGGATATCCAGTTTTCCCAATACTATTTGTTGAAGAGACTGTCATTTCCTTGTTGTATTATCTCGGCATCCTTATTGAATATCAATAAGAGTGGGTTTATTTCTGGCTTCTTTATTCTGTTACATTGATCTGTATGGCTTTTTGACAGTACCATACTGTTTTAAATATAAGCTTTATAATAAGTTTTGAAATCAGGAAGTATAGTACCTCCAGCTTTTTTCTTCCTTCTCAAGATTATTTTGGTCATTCAGGGTGGGTTCTTTGTGGTTCTATATCAATTTTATGATTGTTTTTCTATTTCTGTGTAAAATTATTTTGATATTTTGTTAGGGATTACATTGAATTTGTATATCACTTTGGGTAGAATGGACATTTTAACAACAATAAATCTTCCAATCAATAAACATAGGCTGTCTTTTCTTTCACTTGTGTCTTTAAATTTCTTTCATCAATGTTTTATAGTTTTCAGTGTGCAGGTCTTTCACTTTCTTGATTAAGTTTATTCCTAAGTATATTGGTTTTTTTATGCTATTGTTAATAAGATTGTTATCTTAATGTCCTTTTCGGGTAGTTTATTGTTAGTGCATGAAAACATAACTGATTTTTACATGTTGATTTTATATTCTTCAACTTTACTGAATTTTTTTATTAGTTCTGATAGTTTTTGTGTGGAATCTTTAGGGTTTCCTACATATAAGATCATGTCATCTGTAAAGCTTATAAGATGCAGTAAAAGCAGTACTAAATATCAAGTTTATAGCAATAAATGCTTCTATTTAAAAGGAAGAAATAGCTTAAACAACCTAACTTTACACCTTGAGGAGCTCAAAAACAAGAAGAAACTAACTCCAAGTTAGCAGAAGTAAGGAAATAGATAAGAGCAGAAATAAGTGAAATTGAGAATTGAAAGACAATAAG